CAGCGGGTCATGGCCAACGTGCGGGAGCGCCAGCGCACGCAGTCGCTGAACGAGGCGTTCGCCGCGCTGCGGAAGATCATCCCCACGCTGCCCTCGGACAAGCTGAGCAAGATCCAGACCCTCAAGCTGGCGGCCAGGTACATCGACTTCCTCTATCAGGTCCTCCAGAGCGACGAGCTGGACTCCAAGATGGCAAGCTGCAGCTATGTGGCCCACGAGCGGCTCAGCTACGCCTTCTCGGTCTGGAGGATGGAGGGGGCCTGGTCCATGTCCGCGTCCCACTAGCAAGCGGAGCTCCCCACCCCTTGGCAGGCCGGAGACCTAGGTAAGGACCGCGCCTCTGCGCCGCTCAGGTGGCGGGCTAACGAGGGACGGACGGACTGGCGGACTGGCCGCGCTCCTGTCGCCCACTGTCCTCCCGGCCCTGCCACCTAACCTGGCACCGCTGCCGCGTCCCGCCAGCGTCCCCGAAAGCCTTTCGGTCCCCGCGAGGAAGCGAGGTCCCCAGAGGGATGCGCCCTGGGTAGGGTGTGCGTGAGCTTCTGTGTTTTGTGTGTGTGTGTGTGTGTGTGTGTGTGTGTGTGTGTGTGTCAGACTAAGAGAACGGAGAGGCTCCAGGGTCAAGGGTAAGGACAGTTTTGCCAGGGCCTCCTTTCTCTCCGCTTTCGCATTTCGTTCTTCTTAAAACAAATGTTTCCAAATTCCACCTCCTGCTTTCCGCCCACCCACTTCCTCTTGCCCTCGGGCTGAAATCCTTCCAGGTTGTTCCGCGTAATTTCCCGGCGGTGGTGATAACAGGGCTCACTTAGTCTTAGAAAACAGCCCGAAGAGTAACCAACTTTTCCCCCTCTCTGGGTTTTTGCAGATGTCATTGTTTCCAGAGAAGGAGAACATGGACAGTCTAGAGACTCTCGAGCTGGATAACTAAAAATAGATCCATATGCCAAAGATTTTTCTTGGAAATTAGAAGAGCAGAACCCAAATCCAAAGAAACAGGGCGTGGGGCGCACTTTTAAAAGACAGAGCGAGACAGGCCCGTGGACAGTGATTTGCAGACGGGCAGCGGCACCATCCTCACACCTCGACATTCTGATAGAAGTCTGAACAGTTGTTCGCGTTCCTTTTTGTTTTGTTTTGTTTTTTGACGAAGAATGTTTCTATCTTTATTTTTTCACGCATGCATTCTCAAGAGGTCGTGCCAATCAGCCATGAAAGGAAAGGCATCATTATGGATTTTCTCCATTTTAAGATGGTAATAACCAGAGGAATTTTAAGAATAACTTTAAAAATAAAAATACTTGGATCAAACTGGCCTTCAAAATCATAGTCAGTTAAATCACTTTTTATTCTTCCTCTGAGGGAAAAGAAACTTAAACTACAAAAAACAACATTCTATTTATTTATTGATGACCCATGGTAAAATGCAAATAGATCCGGTGTCTAAATGCATTCCTATTTTTATGATTGTTTTGTAAATATCTTTGTATATTATTTTTCTGCAATAAATAAATATGATTGAAAATTTTAAGAACCTTAGAGTTTGGTCTATATTTTTAAAGCTCAGGATTAAATTGGTGGTAAATACCTGCTTGTTTAACTCCAGAGGCACCCAGGAGGGAGGGGGCACTAATATAAACAAAGCAGGGGAAAACTCAAATAAACCAGCTACTGACAGGCACAGGCATGTTATTTAAAAAGACAGCTTTATTATTATTCCAGTTTGGTGTTCAGCGGGACTTAACAGCATCTCTCCCTCTCTTATCAAGTCCCCCAGCAGAAAACTTTTAACGAATTTACTATGAAGCTCTCTTGTTTATAATTTGAAAAAGTAGCTCTAAAACATTCAGATAATCCGCAGAAAACTTTTAACGAATTTGCTATTCAACTCTCTTGTTTATAATTTGAAAAGGTAGCTCTGAAACATTCAGATAATCAGTTTGAAACCATCACTATTTTCTTCTTCTTACTATATATTTTTGTCATGCTGTCTGTCCTTTGGTGAAGGTTCTTAAATAGGTTCGTTTCAGAGACAAGATAATGTAATGAGAACTATTTCTACACATAAATGAATACAAATGCATGGAAAATAATGTTTAATTCAGTAGAAAAAAATTTGTAATTTTCTTAATGCTTTCATGAATGAGTATGACGTTCAGTGTCATGTTTACTAAGGAAAATATTCGATGTGATCTGAGAAGCATGCTCCTACTATATAAAGAGTGTATGGCTGTGGAATAAAGAACCTGAATTTTTCAGTATCCTTGGTAACTTTTAGAACAATTGCCATTTTGAAAATTTTGAAATGCTACAGCTATTCAGTTTGAAGTCAGTTATTTAGTAAATATATTTTATCAAAAATTATACAGATTGTTTCCCTGAAGATGCAAATCTGATGAAGTACAACAGTCAGAAGTATAAATAGTGCTTGATTTTTATTTCATTCTGATTATTTCTGAGCCAGGTACATTTGCTTTTATAATTAATATCATAAAGGTGGTGCTTTTTATCAAACTTAGTTGTTCATTTTTCATATTCACTTTATTGTATTTAAGTGTAATTAGGGAAGCTTTCAAACTAGACAATCATTTTGGTGCCTAACTCAACAGTGACCCTGTCAGATAAGTATATGTATCCAAACAGGCTGTGTTTGTGGAGGTTATTTTATTGCCTAAAGGATTTTGTTTCCCTCTTCACAGAGCACAGAACAATGCTGACGTGACAATATTGCTGTGAATATTTTCGCCCATATTTTACAATAAATGCCTGTAGCATTGTAAGTGCCTGTAGCATTTATTTCCACTACAAGATTAGTTAAAGCTTGGGGAAATACTATTATTTGGATTTTGACTGTCTTTTACCAACTAATGAACAGGGAAGATGATTACATGAAAATGTATTTGTGGTGTGTGTGTGTGTTAGAAAGGTACAGAGCCACAGTACCATAGAAGGGTAAAGGAAAATCAAAATGGTAATCCTCTTGCGTGTATCATCCAACCACCTCCATTTTCTAAATTGTTCATGGGGAAAATCTTCGTGTTCACTAGTTTGCTCTGACTATTTGCTATTTCAGATTTCTTGAGCTACATCAGGAGGGAGCTGACCATCAATGCTGCAAGGTAAACACTATCTTAACTCTGGATGTAAAAACTAGATGTTTAAAAGAAAGGCGGTCTTCCATTTGCCTTTTTTTTTTCTTAATGTTTTAGGTGGTTTTTTTTTTTCATAAGAGGAAACTGAAGAAAAGCAAGTGTCACATTTATATGGGGTAACTAAATACAAAATACCAGGAAATATTTTCCTTCAGGTCTTCACAGAAATAAATGAAGGAACAAACGGTGGTTAATAGTTTTACTTTGAGAAGCCTTCATGATGGGAAATATTAACTACATGAGTATAATTTTCAGCTTGCAAATCCTATGTTCTTCTCACCAAATGACAAAATAACATTTTTTAGAACACAAGGCCACCTGTGTCTTCTCCACCATTATTTCCTCTCATTTTATTTCATTTCGTTTTATTTTTGTTACCTACACTTCTTTAAAATACATCCATATCTGTGTTATCACTGAGAAGATAAATCTTGCCATTTAGTTAGGTAGCTGGATTCAGGTCTTCACCTTTCAACCAGAATGCATTTGCTAGGAGAAAAGATTGCATTATATGGTCTTGGATGAATTCTGAAGTGTTGAATACGTTGTTGCCTGTACTGTGTAAGTAATTACTTTTGTTTTCAATTTTATCTGATTGATAACCTTCCGTGGCCAAGAAAGCAGTAAATTTTGTCCCGGTATATTTCCCCCTTTCCTGCATATACTCGCTGAGCACAGGCAGAGATAACCATTCAGGCACAGGTGCAGATACCCTCCCCAAAGAGGAACAGACCACCAATAAAATAGCATCAAGTAGCTGAAACTCACACGCCTTTTGTACTTCTCCCCCACGTTCAACAAGGGCACCAGCTTCTTGCCCCTTCGCTCTTCAGGCTCATATTCATAATGGAGCTTTTTAAGGGACACTTGGCCTCTTGCAAAAAAGTGGAGCATTTTGCACATTCCACGGTTTGGCAAAGTCAGAACTAGTTATTTTCTCTAGACCGGTATCAAGTTCTTCTCAGGCATATGATTTCACTTGAAGTCCTGCCCAGGAATCCTTCAAAGTGAGCGTTTGTCCCGCTGTCATGATGTCAGGCGGTTTTCCCCGCATCTGTAATTTGAAGAAAAACAAACAAACCTGCGGGGAGCAAACGCCACGGAAACCCAAACAGAACTCGGTGGGGAGCAAGGGTCTCACCTGCGGCAGGCGGGCGGAAGAGGGGCTCGGGCCCAGGCTCCCCTGCGTGGGTGGCGGCAGGCCTTCCCCTTGGAGAGGGTGACACTGTCCGGGCCCTCTTCAGATGGTGTGGGACCGCTCCTGTCCAGCGTCTGTTTGGAGGCGGTGGCGCCAAGTGTCAGCGGTAGCAAGGGGAGTAGCAACAAATCCAGGCAAAGGCCCAGCCTCCCATTTCCAGAGACAGTCCCGGCGTTAGTGACAAACGGGTCCAAAAGGGGATCCCCAGGGGCCACTTCTGCAGAACTTTCTGCTTGCATGTCAGAAAGACTGCCCCACACCAGCAACAGCAAAAGTGGAAGGAACGCGCACCCGCAAAATGGAAGGAGAAATCGACTTCTTCGTAATCTCTCAAAGCCGGCCACACCATTTCTCAGAAAACTACGCGGACTCTTCTTTGTAAATTAAGCCTGGAAACTGCATACATAAGGATGACTATTTTTTTTTTTAACTCAACAGCAAAAGACAGACCTAGTCAACAGGGTAGGGGATACATTCTCCATTCGATTTTGTCTCCGGCCCTACGACTGTGAGCCACTTAATGTTTTTAGCGAATCAAAGCACGTGTCCTTTGAAGAAGGTGTGTAATTGGAGTTTAAGGCATGTATGGAATTCCCAGATGTCTATAAAGTAAGAAGGAGCATGTGGCAGGTCACTGGAAGGTGGGGCAGGTTAAAATCACTGGCTCAAACGTTCCCGCTTTATATTCTCCCCCTTTATAAAGGCCAGCGAGATAACCCTTGGGGAGAGATTGGGACGGGATCATAATAAATATTCATCTTCTTGTATCAGAGTCATAGTAACCATGGTGAACAGCACATGGTCAGAAAACCTCAAAGAAAACACTCAATTACAGCCGGGATTTCTTGGGATCCCTGCATCGTCTGGGGTTTGCTTTACTTGAGGGCCTCCAAGGGCCTTCTTTCTTGTTTACGTGGACTATTTTCTTTTCCTTCTTTTCTTCCCCCTAAGTCTGTGGATGTGTCCTACTTCTGCATGCAATCTAGACTGAAGCCAGAGGAACAAAACTCCAGATTTGGAAAAAAAAAAAAAAAAAAAAAAAAAAAAAAAAAAAAAAACAATTCTAAAAGGATTCATTCCAGAAGGCAGCCTTCTTGGGGGAAGGGAGATTTCGAGTCAGTGAAATGAAATTTCGGTAAAACATGCAGCTTAAACCTCTACCAGACAGAGGGAAAGTTCAATGAAAAGACAGCCATCAAAATCAGTCTCATTTCATGAGGAATATACTGACTTCTAACTGAATGTGAGTTTGAATATTGATCATTAGGAAGTTTTTGTATTGTTTTTGTTTTGTTTGGGGTCTGGAGCGTGAATCCAAACACTGCTTTTCTCTTTGGGTTCAAGATGCTGCCCTCCTTTACCTGCACAATCGAGCCAGAGGTGGGTGTCAGCTAAAGAAACTCACCCTGGAGAAGGTTGGCACTGGGAGGAGGGCGATGTTGGGGGAGTTTGGACTAAGGGCCAAAAGCTCCACAAAAGTTACCACGGAGGCAGGCGGGCAGGAGGGGGAAAGGGACGCGCCCAGAGTGACACAAGTGTGACAAGTGAAAAGTTAGGCAGGTACCTGGAGGAAGTTTATCTTGCCCAGATGTTAAGGCGTTTATGAAATGTCACGTGAGTAGAACAGATGTACAACTTGCAAATGGAGCCACGCCTGTAAATGCAAGAAAGTCAAATGCTTGGAGGAAAATCCAGGCATAAATCATCAGCCTCCATTTCTAGTTATCTATTTACTCCTTTAAAAATCTGCTGTCAGAGAGTGAATGCACTTACTAAATTAAGTGCACCTTCCAGGAGAAGTCATCCTTGCAACCCCAGCCCAGCAGCCTCATCCCCCTAGACTCTTGGGTTTGTGGATTGGTGGGCCGGGCCTTACTTTGTCCCCTGCCCTCCCATATTCCTTCCCCACATTCCCATCCCACCCACCCACCCCCCCCCAGCCTCTCCAGCTTCTGGAAGACTTTTGATCCCGAGAAATGTATCAGATCTCGGTTTGGAAAAGCTGAAACTAATCAATTGCCTTTTTGAAGGAGTAGAGTGTGATAAGAAGACCTAAGGAATGCCAGGTCTTGAC